CTGGTCCTGTAAGTCGGCCTCTTTTTCACTTTTATCAGTAAGTGAGTCTAAATTACTCGAGGAGTTGGAGGGTGATAGTGAATAAGATAGGGCGTATTCCTATTTTCATGAATATCCTCTTCCGTGGAGTTATTTTTACTATTAGAAATATGCCTGTACCAAGTGACACGGCGATATATATATGTATATATGACTACCAGAGGAACAGTAGTACAGGCCTTATTAGAGAAATTGAGTTTTTTATTTTTTTACGTGGTGGAAAAGGTGTTAAACACTAAAAGTTATTGGATTAAATATTTTTAACATTATAAGAGTTAAATCATTATTTTTTCCGTACGATGAAATCGTTTATTAAGGCCAAAAACATCTTTTTGAAGGTATGAACTACAGTTAACTGTACATTGAGCTACTCGTTTCTGCTGCTGTTGCTGCTGTCGCTGTTGCGACAGGTGTTAATATACAGCTTGATGTTAGATTAAAGTGTACTACGTACGTTAAAATGCTGTTTTCAGCCTCAATAAACGATTTTATCATATAAAAAAAAAAAATTACAACCTAACTTTCATAATGTTAAAAATATCTACTCCAACAATTTTTTGCATCTATTACCTTTTTCACCACGGAAAAAAATAAAAACTTAATTTTCCCTGTAAGGCCTGTACTGATTTTCCTCTGGTGGTCACATTTATATATATATCGCGGTGTCACATGGTACAGGCATATTCCCAGTACTCAGTTTCCTTATCCCCTTTCTCTTTTTCTTCGGTGGCTTGTTTACCTCGATTCACCAATTCATGTCAACGTTTGATTTGTTACTGACCAGCGATCTCTTCCCATTCTTCTTCGCTTTGCTTATTAACTGCAACGAGTGGTCTGAAGCAATTGTCAAAGGGATGCAAGTATTCATATTTTTTATGTCATTTATCGTGAAAATTTCGAAAATGTTGCATTTAATTTCCTTGTTAGTATCCTGCAAAAGTATGCAGACTTTTCTGAATTTCTGTGTGAATAAAAATATAGTCATCGTTACCATATTTTATCAGACTGCAAAATTTTTTCGATCTCCCCCAGGTTGACACACATATTTTTTCACTTCAAATACCGTAGCATATCACAGAGTTTCCGTGTTGTCAATTGCAAGTTGCAGGAAAAAAAAGTGAGTCGAATAGGCAGTAACCTGGTATTACTACTGGAAACTCCTCGATAAGTTTCAAAATTTTATTTGACTTCGCGCTATTCTGTCTCAAAATACGCCTGGTTATATTTTTATATAACGGACGTACGCTAGCCTGTCATCGGTTGGACCTTGTAATAATATTTCGTTTTCTTTTTTGATTTCGCCTGCTTTGGATGTTATCTTTGGGTGACTTTTAATGATGTTTTTTTACGGTCAACTTCTATTTCTCGTGACTTTCTTTAATTGAGTAGTAAGCTTCACTAGCAGATTGTCCATTTACACTTATATCCACTCTCCCTTCCTTAACTTTATTGTGGCATCGGTTTTTCTTTTCTACTTTTTTGATTAAGTTTTCTGAATGTGCGCAGTAGATTTTTAGCCTCTTAGAATCGCCTTGGATCATTTTTCTTAGAAATTCGCGTAATTTAAATAATCGCGCTGATGTTCTATCGCTATCGACTTGACAGTCCCCATCATATCAATCATCCGTAGCCTCTCAATACGGTTTTAAACCAGTTAGATCTAACACTTTTACCTCACGTTTTAAATTGGCATTTTTTTGGTATAATTGTAAAGTTTGCTTTCGATAATCGCTCTAACAGTTTTATAAAACGTGTTTAGAGTGTCTATTCAACCCATAGGCATTCTTTTGTACTGGTAGAGCCCATCTGGTCGTGAGAATTCTGTTTTTTAGGCGTCATCTTCGTGTATTTTAATTTTAAAAAATGCCTGTCTTAAGTCTACGTCTGTAATATATCGTACTGTTGCCAGATGTTCTAACATGTCACTCTGAAAAGGAAGTGAGTGATAACTACCTATTGTTATCTCGTTTATTTGCCTAAAATCTGTTGTCTCGCGTCAGTGTTTTTCGCCGTCTGGTTGGTACGTTTTTTAGCACGAGCCACATGTTTGAGTTGTATGGCGATTCTAAAGGCTCTATTATGCCCTGTTCAAGTAATTTTTTTGTCTAAATTTTAATCTTCTCTCTCACAGCTGGTGGATATCTGTATCGCTTCTTGACTATTGTTTTACCTATAGTTATATTTATCGCATGTTTTGGTATATTTTTTACTTTCAGTCGTTCCCCGTCAAGTCCAAACACATACGGGTCTGATTCTATAAGCCCTCGCACATAATTTTTCTCTTCTTCATTGCAACCTAATATATCAACTAACTCCACTATCTTATAAATTCAAGCTTTCCGATTACTTACGAGGACTGGATTGATGTTTTTCTCAAATGTATAAGTGTTTTCGTTGCCATAGCCGTCGTCGTCACAATCCCCCTCTCTCACGATATTTTTATTAGTATATATGCAACTGGTATCGTTTTTTATCTTTTTACCCAACTCCTCATTTCTCCCAAGGTTCTCGGATGCCTTAAACATTCACATAATGGCTATCCCTAATGCTCCTGCGACATCCTCATTGATTTCGGATGAGTCAGCTTTTTTTGTGGTCTCGCATTTCAACAGGTCCACCACTGTGACTGGTATATTTATCGGTTCGTTCTATGTATTTAATTATTCCACATCTTGCCATTATTGTTTGTTGCAGTAAAATTACCGAAAGAAATGCCCTCTCAAAGTTTCTGCAGCGGGACCCAGTCCGCTTCAATTTTACTGTGCGTGTCTTTTACATATGCATATGCAACTTGCCTTGTTTTCGGCAAGGAATCGTCTTTGGCATTTTTGTGGCCGTGATACAACTTGAAGATATCCCATCCCATAATGCCTTTTACCTCTATGTGAAAGTCATGGGGGACTACATGTAAAGTACACATGAAATTCTCGAGGGGCAATCTAATCGATCTTAAAGTTTGATAAGCTCTTTGTGTTACACCTTTTATTTTTAATTTTTCCCTACTGTTTAACGTTACTCTGAAATCGAGACAATTTTTTTTTAATTGCTGTAGGTAGTATATCCTATCTTAGATATTTTCTCCTTGTATTCTGTGTAATGTGACTCATAGCGCGTACCGATTCCTTTGCGTCTCGACCGAGCATCAATTGATTCTTTGTTGTCGGTGACCACCTAAACTGTATAATTCGTAGCATAAGTCTCCGATACCTTGTGCTTACTATTATCCACGCTTTTTTTAAACGCCCTTTACTCTTTTTCGGAAATTTCTTTATTCAATGCGCTGTTATGTTCGATGATTAGGGAACATGTTGAAGATTCTAGAAATTTAAATGCTCATTCTTTGAACTGTTCCATCTAGTATCCTGTTTATTTTTATAATTTTCGTCATAGTATTTAATATCACCGATCCCATAAGGGCTGTGATCTCCTCCTTTGCTATGATTATCATTCCTTCTGTCGTTATATTTATCATAGTTATCTCTTCTATAATTATTCTTAGCATACTTATCTCTCCTAAAAGTGCCTCCATTATATTGCCCCCAGTACTCGCCAAAATTTCTATAGTCAGTATAGTAGCCCTTCAGCGGTTATTACTATAATAATTATTACTTTCATTGTAATGTTTCCCAGCATTAACTCCTTTCTTTATTTTCTCAGGCAGTTTCGAGTTTTTGATTAGTTATTATCACCCAGCGTTATTGTTTCAAGTTGTCGATTCCTCCTCTGTTGCCGAATTTTCTGGAGACAGCCGGAAAAAATTCATCTACAGAATTAAATAAAGACAAACTTATGACGAACTGATCTGTTGCTAGCCTTGTTAACCTGCTTTTTAAAATTCTGATGAAATATTTTTCGTTTTGACACGGGACCGTCGACTTCGTTATTTTCATTATTTGTTCGAACAACAAAAAACGCGTATGATCTTCGTTGAATGTAGGTAAACCGTTTACTGCCTTGTTTAAGTAGCCTTATACTTGTAAATCAAAATTTAACTTTAGAGCCAATGATGTATCAGTTTTCTGCCTAGTACAAGGGAAAAATTGCATCGCTTGATGCTGAGGGTTATCCCGTATGTTACTTTACTTTTCCATAAACTTCTAATTACAGTTGGCGTGTCAAAATTGTAAATTCACGAGTAAAATGTGAGGCCGTAATGTTAATTTAGCCTTTTTTTAATCTAAAACTAAAGCAATGCTTTTTTATGATCAGCATTCTTTTAGTAGAAAACCTCCCTTGGTTATTTGAAAAAGGTTTCAGATCGAAATCTCATTACGTGATGTTCAAATCTACTGCGTCATGAAATAGACCGTTTAAGGTAGAATTCCCTATATATATATATATATATATATAGCATGGTGCCTCAGTCGGCTAGGTCGTGGGTCGGAAAGTAGGAGACCGCGGTTCGATTCCCGGCCATTGCGACTTTTTCGGGCAAGTACCTCTGTGAATTTTCACATTTGCTTTTTCATCACGAAATACTCCTCGAGGAGAAAATAGGCAACTTTCTTGCACCAAAATCGCCTAATTTCCCCCACCCTCCTCCCAGTATGAGAGGCCTCCCATTCCTCTTCCTTTCTTTCTCCCAAGTGCTAAGTGCCCTGAGTAGTGCCCTTTATAGGAGCTGGACGTAAAGCACTATTACATATATATGACCAAATTATGAGTTGGGTTATGCAACTATGTAATTAATTAGGTCACAGCGATTTGCATAATATTGATGGATCGAAATCAGATTCCTACACTACACTTGCACGGAACGAATACTTACTATGATGCGTGGAAAATTTTTTTCTCTTAATAGCATCCAAGATATCTATAAATCTTTTGAACATTTTATCAACATTATTTCACAAGGCCTTAAACCTAATATGCTACTTGACAATAACAGCATGTTCACACATTAATTAAGTTATTGTAGTAAAAATTGGAAAAATCACAAATACTGTTGATCTGTTCTAAAGGACGAAGGAGATGACGGTGAAAAGTCGAAAGAGGACAGTCCGAGTGATGAAAGTAACCCCGTGCCAAGCAGCAAATCTGAAGCTCAGGGTTTGACAAGAAGTTTGATATCTGAAACAACCCAGCAGCTGATAAACAGTGAGCAGCGTGCCCATTCCAATAGCATATCACTGATAAATACCGAGCCTAACTACGGCCTCCTACTGCACCACTCCAACGGCACAAATCAGTCAAACGGCGTCATGAGCATTGAAAATAGTATGAATAGCAAATCACTCTTCGATAATGGAAATAGTACTGCGCAGCAGCAGGAACTCAATGGCCACCATAACAGTATGAGACATGACAATGGCTTGGTCACTGATACAACGATCGTTGCTTTGGATCATGCCACGGTGTAAGTATACTTGTACACGACAGAAGTGGCTCTTCTTTTTTCTGTTTATTTCTCTGCTCCCCTTGGAGCTATGAGGATGCCTCGCCCGTGGGATCCTTGAATTCGCGTGCAAGATGAATATGCTTTTTGGACGGGATATACGTAACATTCTTTTTTTTTTTGGATTTCACATTTTCATTATCTTACAACAAGAAATTAGTATAACCTTCATACGTAAGGTAATTTTTAGTTTTTGGTTCACTTATATTCATATAAATGATTTTAAAATTATGCTAAAGACACCTAAGTGAATGATTTTTTTATGCAGATAATATTCTTGTGATAAAAAAAATTTTTTTTAATCCTTCGATGTCGAGTTGTTGCATAGTTATGAACTAGTTTTTAAATTTTTACATCACAAAAAATTTTAATACATCAGATTAAGCAATGGTTGTCGCAGAGGAAAACGAAAGCTATTTTTTAACTCCCAAATTGTAAATATCACCATCATGATTATTATACATACATTTATAATTAATTATATTTATGCTTCATTTCAATGTTATTTAGTCCCGTTCAAAATGTAAATGTATGTAAACAGTGTTTAAAAAAAGTACTGGATAAGATTTGGAAAGTGTATAAGTAAGCAATTTTAATGCAAAGGTCATCATGGCCATTCTATAATGTCGAAAATAAAAAAATTTAGATCTTAAATGCATTGTGCCTGTAAAACTACTTTCAGAAAACAAGCTTGTTAGTTTGTTGTTCAAAGACAATTTTTGTATTATCATCGTTAGAAATAAAAGTTTTTATGTGTGTTTATATTATATACACACGTCTTCATCATATACGTATGCATCTTTACTGAAAAAAAATTAACAATTTTCTTTTTGTTCCTAGATTCTTATGCATATTTAATAATATGTTGGTAATTTTTTTTTATTTACTTTGAGCAATTATTGTTAACAAGTACTTTGCCAAACAATTTGAAAAAATTTTTGTTTCATTATAAAATTAACAAACGCAATTTTTTGTATTGTAATTTCTAATAATTCCTGTATGTTACGTGCTTTTTTTTAAATTTAAATCTTACTTTGCATGATGTTCCGTGTATTAAAATAAAAATTCTAATGTTTTTAATTATAACTGTATGAATTACATTCTTTCAGTAGAAGACCGAGTTTACTAATAAAATCGTAGGACTAAAATCTTTTAATTTTTTTATGCCATGATGTCCATTGTGTATGAAATATTAAATAAATGTGAGTGTATATTCAGAATGTAAATTACTTGTTTAAATAAATATTTTTCATTGTTTGATGTTATGAACAAATAAAAAAAGAGATCCAACTTTGTTTTACCTGTAATAATTTGTTAGACTTTTATGTGAAAATTCGATACATTACTATAGAATATCATCAACTGAACAAGTAGAAAGTCAATCACAGACATTCAAGCAGTAATAGCGAAGTTATAGATGAAAAAATTAACAATATTAGGAAAAATAAATTTTATAATGAGATATAACCAACTGCCTTAAATATTTTTAAAAAATTTAACTTTGTAGAGGATTGCCCGAAAAATTTGGGAAAATAAAAGAACGATAATGCAAGTTGACTGGCATTATACAATCACTTTTTTATGAACAGAAAATAAATATATTTTAGGGTGTATTAAACTGCCTTAGAGTTGATACGATTTAATATGTAGCTATCGTAACATAAATGTATATTAGGAGTTATATCAACTATGATGAAAACACACTGCTATTATGTAAATTCCTATTGTACATTTAAGAGCAATTATGTATATTCAAAAATTTATACCTTATGAGAAAAAGTTATGTGCATTTGTTTCTTTTACCAGCAGACATAATGTTATTCTACTTGTGCTACCCTTAAAATGACATGAAAGTAGTTTAGAGACTATAATATACTGTTGTTGGAAATGAAATGAGCTATATCAATTGGTTTTAATGGTTATTTTTACCGGAAAAGTGCCGTTTTTCAGGACTGAAAATCTAATATTTGGATAGGCAATCACACATAGAACAATTTTCGAGTATCGTTAATAAAACAATCCCAAGTTTATTAAAATCTAATGTAATATCTGCTTTGTTTAGATGTTATTTATAGTAATTGTATTTAAGTCTTTAAGTTCCATCTATTTCACACTCTTTATTAGTTTAAACTGAAAAAATTTTCTGTATTGAATGCAGCTTACAAAAATCGTTAAAATTACAAAAATTAACTATAAAAATGACTCCTACAGAGGTTACAATTTCAAACAACACGTATATAAAGAATGAATAAAATATATTTCTTCCTTTGTGTACATTTGGTAAGTATCCCCTGAATTAGTAAGCCTCGAAGGAATAAGCTGACAATATCTTCAAATTTTTAGTAATTTCGGTTTTAATTAAAAATGGCGGCTACAGTAGCTTATGATTCTACTGGCCACTATATTTATGTAAACCAGAAGACAAGGCACGTAGTTCTATCACTCCCTAAACTCTCTTGAAGATTACTATCTTGAGTCAAGCGTGTATGCCATCACACGATTGTCTTTTTAAACAACCAGGTAATAGAAACAAGACAAAAATTGTACAGACATGTAAAATTGCTCTTTTTGTTAGTCAGTTAACATAAATATAAAGCAAACTATTTTTGTTACAACCAAACAGGGTATCCAAGGAGAGAACATAAGTGTTTTTAAATAAATGTATTTTCAAGCCTAAAATCACGAGCTGGCAGCATCCATCTGAGCCTGTGAGTTGAAAAAAAGCAAGCAGAAGTGATCTCTCTCTCTCTTTCTTTCTCAATTGTTTTAATTAGTTCTACTTTGCTAAGACCTATTCGTACGATTTCAGAAACGATTGATCTATTACCTTTCTGTAAGAATATTGTGGCAACTAATGAGACTGTTGCTAATACTTACCAAGGGCATAGAAAGCTACCCAGGTTCACCGTTTTCTAGTCTACAACTTTCCCTAAGAAGTGAGTTATCAATTATGACCTTCATGGTGAAAATGGCGTTCAAATCTATGAAAGATTTGCCTACAGGTAAAGGTACTTACTTGAATTAATAGTACGAACTTACAAAAGCACAAGATCAAATGCACTTTGCTAAGGTATTATGTTTCACTATAAGAAGTTAAGGATAAAAATATAATAGAATATCTTAAAGGTTTTTGTACCAAAAAATTTTTTAGTGAACTGCTAAAACAAGACACAATATTTATGTAGTATATGTTTTTCGTATACTGTTGCCAGATTTTATTTTACTGCAGCAATGCATGTAGATAATTCACTAATAAAGTGCTTAAGATCTTGGATTTTGTATGCATTTGATATCATCATATTAATAAACATAAATTGATTTTGTTTGTGTATAAGAGGAGTTACAATTTTGAAACAGTTAAGAGTCGTTTGATTTTTACTATACGCTGCATATACGATTCTTTTATGTCGATTTGCATATCTAAGGTAAAAACATGTACATGTTATTCTTCACTCTGAATCATTAAATTATCTTGTCTAATCTAAGTTTAATTTTTTTTCGAAAGTCCAGATTCACTGTAATTTTTTATTTTGTTGCAGTTTGAATTTATATACATCACTGTTTTTTTTTTCATGCTCGTAGATAACTCTCTATTGACATGACTGACAGAAATTTTATTTCCAACAATTAGTATAGTTTATTACACAAAAAACAGTTTATTCTCGAGGCTTCAATGGATAAATCAAGCCCCCATTCATCAGAATTCTGATGCTGGGGGTAATCCCATCGGCAATACAAAATAAGTCAACGAAAACTATATATTTTTTTATGTATTTTTGCCGCTAAATATGAATCTGTTGTTCGGAAATTTCCAAGATTAGTTTATTTTGTTTACAATGCGAATGTTTTAGTGGAAGAAACGAATTGCAAAAATCAGTCTGAATAAATTTTTTTCACAAAATATGACTTCAAACCAGAAAAAAGTGTTATACATGTCAAATACGAAAAATGATAGCCATAAAAGTTATTAATTATTGAAGTTAAATAAATGCTTTTTTATCTAATTTTTTAAAGTTAATCACTTTTCAACAAACCATAATTCTTGGATTTTTCCGAAAAAATTGTTTTCTTTGAACCTTCTACTATGTAGCAGTACCATAATGTCGTCCAATTGTAACTGCAAAAATTGTTTAACACGGTTATAAACAAATAGTGTTTTTGATAATTTTTTTAGTTGTTAATCAACAAGAATTGTAGGGCTTTTTTAATTATGACCATACGAAAGATGATTCTTGTGTTTATTGCTCTTCTTTGTCATAAAAGAGTTTTGTCACAAGTGCAATACTTGTTAGTTGTTAGATTGGACGTGTGGGTTTTCACCGGAAAAAATTCTTGTTTATTTTTTTTTCGAAGTATATTAAACAAAAACACTATACTTATCTCATAAAAAAACATTCGCAATTAGCAATTACGTCAATATTTGTTTGTCCGGATAATTATTTATTTACATTGTATACTTTTACCAATACTATTCCAAATACTTTTCAATTGATTTCACTTAACTTTAACACTATGTATGTACTGATTTATTAAACAATGAATCTGAAAATTAGAATCATTTCTGATTAAAGGGTCAAATTGAAGTAATAATTTTCTTGATTTCAATGAATTACAGAGTTTGATTTTACGTCATAAAAATAAATGCCCTTAATGAGTTATTGCCTACGAGAGATTCAATCAAATTATATGCTAGAAAAGCATTTAATGTTACACATTCATGGTTACCTTGCTTATAACATTTTTTGAAATATTAACTCTGCGAGGTTTTTATTTTATTAACAAAAACAATATGCTAATACCAACAAAAATTTTTAAGTATTTGTCTTCAAGGAAGTACTCCTACCTAACGATGATTGTAAAGCATATTCCATAAAAATTTATAGCTGTTTTTGAGCTGTAATAGAAACTTGTAAATACTGTTCTTATTAAAAAAATAACACGTGTTAGAATCATTATGATTTCAATCAATAATGAGGAAACGTAAACATACTTATTAAAAGTAGATATAGTTTTTGACTAAAAGTCCTACGAAAATAACATGCGTAGTAAGAGTTGATTAAAATTGATTGAAAAATATACATAAAAGCCATATAACTCTTTTTAATTAAGGTTGCTTGGGCATTTAGTGCCGTACCAAGTGAGGAGCCCTTTAAGGTTCTATGGATTATGAAAAATATTCTTTGTTCATTATCATAATAATTCAATATCTAAATCACATATTCAAATTCTAGATCTTTATTGGCTTGAAATAGTTATAGAATATCAATCAGAAGAATAGTAACAATTCATCATTTTAATCCACGCATGCACAGAAGAATCACTTTTTTCTTAACTTTCTAAAAATCCAAGTGGTTGACATATAATTTCCACATTTCTAAAAGATTTCCTATAAAAAAAGTATAAATACAACATTGATTCGTAAAGGCTTTACCACTAATTTTTAGAGTTATAGTCGGTTTGGTAATAAATTCCATAAGATTGCGTTTTAAATTGGTGAGTTTTTATCAGTGATTTTCTGGAAAATACAGTGGTTGACCCTAGTATTTTTTCATCGCAAATTATTACGACATGTTTTATTTGCATATTTTAAAATTTCAGAAATTTTTATCATTACAGTAAAAATCATCCAAGCCACCTTAGAGTCTCAGAAAGTTATCGAAAAACCAAAAAATATTATTTTGTTCAAAAATTATTTTCTTTCAAAAAAAGAGCAAATAAACATTTTCTTTAACTGTTGCGAATGGAAACTCTTTTCAGGCAAAAAAGCGATATGTAACTTAAGCTGTACACGAGTGATGGACTCGGAACCGGAATAAAGCACAGAAGAACTTAGCAATGCACTGAGGTGTTGTGCTGACTTACAGGGCAGAGTAAAGTCTCTGCTTGCTGTCACGCCATGAACTGAAATCATGAGTTCCCGCGTCCTAAAGCGGCTAGTTGATGAGGAACAAAGCCTGGATGGGGATATCATGGACTACCTATGCCATGCAGGCGACACATACTCTACCTCAGCTGTAAACAACGTAAAATACACGGGTGCGCCGGGTTCAGTCCGTTGCTCGTATGATAATATAAGATAAATTGTGTGTATTAGAGTTGAGTATACTGGCGTTGGCATATAGGCAATTTTGTACAAGTGAGGGAGAGGGGAGAGTTTAGTGGTGTGTAGGGAGGGAGGCAGCGTGCGAGCGAAACGGCAGTTGTGCACTGATCGCGGAGTAGAAAGGTAGGTGTCGGCGACGGCCACATTATATAATTCTAACATGAATAAAAAGTTCCTTGATACTAGTTAACTCCTTTGTTTCGTTTATTTATTTTAATTTATGAAATACCTTCACTTCCCTTGATTCTGTCGTCAACAAAAAGCTTCAAGCACGTGTACTGGCGGAAACGCAGTAACACGCCAGGTAGTGCTTGCAGAAAATCGAAGCCTGTGTCGAGTTCGTCGTTCAGACTTAGTCTCTCGGTTTTTGCTGCCGCGTCTAATACCAATCTAATTCGTCCCGATTTATTCACACTTGTTACACCGAAATGTGGGAGATACCAAACTCT